GTCGGTAAGATACTCGATTCGGTAGGTAAGATTGATGTTGTCGGTAAGCTACTCGATTCGGTAGGTAAGGTAGTCGATGATGTCGGTAAGCTACTCGATTTGGTAGCTAAGATAGTCGATGTTGTTGGTAAGCTACTCGATTCGGTAGGTAAGCTACTCGATTCGGTAGGTAAGGTAGTCGATACTGCCGGTGACCTACTCGATTCGGTAGGTAAGGTAATCAATGCTGGCAGTAACCCACTCGATTCAGTAGGTAAGGTAGTCGATGCTGCCGCTAACCCACTCGATTCGGTAGGTAAGGTAGTAGATGCTGCCGGTATCCTACTCGATTCGGTAGACAACCCGTCTGTTTTCTCAGTAACGAAGCGTTCTGTTTCATTTCTAGTTACGTAAAAGCCCCGCGGAATTTTTGTCGAGAGCAAAGTAGTCAGCGGCGGACTGCGTATGGTGGTTGGTTTTAGCGTGGTGGTCGACGAGTCTTCGCTTTCCATCCTCTTCTTGTTGCTGGACGACGCGTTTTCGTCGTCGGCATCGTTGTCCTCGACATAATCGTGCGCTTTATCGTCGAACACATCCAATTCGTTCTCTCTACCGTCTACCACGTCACTCCTTTCGTTACTTTGGCTGATCTTGTCCAGGGTCCAGGATTCTCTGACGTTCTCAAAGTTTCTGGGAGCGGGGATTTTTGCTTTATCTGGGAACGAGTTACTCGGGGAGTCGTCATCCTCGAGCACGAGGTTCGTTCGTTTGTCGAGCAAGCTCAAGTGCACAGGTGAAGGGCTGCTGGTGTGATCGTTCGTCTGATAACCAATCAACTCCCTGAGGGTCGGTAGTCTATTAGGTTCCGAGTTGGCGACCTGAAAATCAGAAGAAGGCGGCAGGCTTAGCGACGGTCCTCCCTTCGAGGGATCTTCGTTCTCTCCCGTTATCGCTATCGGAGTATCGATCCTCGATGTTCGCGTCGGCATGCTCGTTCTCCGTTTCGACCGATTCCCGAAGGGATTTCCGTGCCAAGTCGTCTTCGGTAGCCGAGGTTGTCGCGCGATCCGATGAACACGAGATGAACGGACGGTGAGTCGGAGTGGAGAAAAAGAAACGGAAGAAGAATTCCCCTTCTACGTGTTTTTTCTCGCTTATGGATAGTTTAATATTGGGTGATGCATGATAAGGAAGATGGATGGCGTCTATGTACATTATCGATGATAGCGCGAAGGATATTAGCGAGCGCATGATTCATTGGCCAGAGTCTTTGCTGCCGATCAAGTTGCTGAACACAGACTCAATCTCGATCGTGGATGACTCATGGGACTCGGTAGTAAGCCAACCAGGTACCCGATGAAGGAACTCGCTCTCTATGGGTAACGTGGACCTCTCGACATGGCCCTGGCGGATCTCATTCGCCGATTCGTCTTCGTTCGTCTCACCAGTGGAATCCTTTGACCTATCTGACGTGCCAGGGACCCAGGAGACAGTGGTCTGCAACGGAATCCTCGTAGTCGATGTCAACGAAGAGTACTTTGTCTTTATCAAAATCTTCTGTCGCTCTGTGGTCGCCGATTCCTCGACCGAGGTTACCAGTCTGGTGACGAGTGGTTTTGAGGGCGGTGTGGTTGTGTAATCAGTGTCCACGAGATTCTGGACCTCCTGGCGTTCCTCGCCTAAGCCACTCAGAGTCGTCGTGTCCTCCTCGTTGGGTCCGCGAGGAGTGGTCCGCAAAGACTGCTGTCTCCTGTGAGCATCCGCTACGTAATCGAACTTCTTTGCCGGGATTAACGTCTCCGTGACGGACGGCTCCGCGGTGGTGGATATGGGCCGTCTCGCGTAGAACCTCGACCTGACGTGGGTCGACGAATCGAAGCTGGGCGACTGCGTGGCGTCCAGCAACGACTCCTCGCCCCCTTCGTCTCGATTCCTCGCTCCGTCCCGATACAGGTAACGCGTCCTTGGCTGACGGAAGTTCTGATACCTGGACGTTGGGTCGTTTCCCTCCTCGAATTCTTCCGGCGACGAATCCAGCGCGAAAGAGCCCTCAGTGCTCACCGTTTTCCTAAGAGAATTCGGAACCCTGTATCGCGGCCGTAATTCTGCTTTTCTATCGTTTATAGATGCGGATCGATAAGTCTCCTCGCTTCCAGTGGAAAATGTCTCGTCGCCTCCTGTGCCGTTGAATGCGACGAGCCTCGGCGAAGTCAAAGGATCCGGATTACCGTGGCTGATCAGCGTCGCTGGAGTGACGTATCGACTCCAGAAATCCTCAGGGACGGTCTTGGCTGGCAGGTCGACGGCGAACACAGCTTCCTCGTTGGCTCGATTGATCCTCGGAGTCGCGTCGTTCGAGTCGAATTGTTCATCTAATCTCAATCTCAAATCCATCGTGTCATCGAGGGTTTTCTCGTTTACGTCTTTTTGCGTCGTCCTGGCAGTGGTCGTCGAGGAAACGGGCCTTCGACGAACGAATAGACTCTTCCTGCGCTTCGACGCCACTTCGTTGTTCCTCTCCGTCGTCGAAGATGGACGCGCGAAGCTCCCTGAAACTGGGTATCGACTGGTAACGTTCTCAGCGGAATCGACCGGTCGTCTGCGCACGAACTTCTTCCTCACGTATCTGGAGTCTAGGTAGTACGTCTTGTTGTAAGGTTCCAGTCTGCGGCTGGGCTGTACGGTTACCAGAGGCGTAGCGAATTGAGAGACAATGGTTGGCAGAGCTTCGGGTTGGCTGCTAGGCGCTGATATATCGTAGGCACTATCTTTATCGGTGAAGTTGATCAAGAAGCTCGACACAGTCGACTCCGCCGTGTTCGTTTCCGTGACTGATTCCTCCGTTTCAGATTCGGTCGTGGCAGCGGTGAAGTTGTCGAGCAACGTCGAGGTCATCGTCACCGCGTCAGGGTCGAATGAATTCTCATCGGCGGTGAACGATTCCGTAGTAGGTGCCTCGAAAGTAACCGCGAGATCGCTGAAGGCATAGTCCATGGTATTCGAGGTCTTCGCCGTAGATGCAGTTTCTATCGGGACGTCGGACTTCACTGTATCCTCTTCGACATCCAGTGCAGCAGCGGTGACAAAGCTCGTTGTGTCCGCGTTAGAGGTTGTAGACCCAAACCTGATCACCACTTGATCCTCTTCGGTAGAAGAGAGCTCTACGGTGGACACCGTAGTGTCGTTTCTAACAGGTCGTAGACGCCTGATCACTTTTCTTTTTCGAGGAACCGATCTGTTCTCTTCCTCTTCCTCTTGCGACGCTACAGTGCTGAATGTAACGGGTCGTTTCCTCAGAAGAACCTTCTTTCTCTTTGGAACCGTAACGTTCCGGTTCCCTTGAGCCGTTAGATCAGTCGCGTTCGCGGGAAATACGATCCTGATGATGTTGGGATCGAAGTCTTCCACCTTGCTGGTCGTAGAGAACGGCTCGGTCTGCTTTTCGTTAGCGGATAACAAATTCTCTGGTATCACGGTGACCACTTCGTTCTCTGTATTAAATTCCGTAGTGCGAGCCGACTCCACGACGTTCGTCTCTACGTCCGACTGAATCGTAGTCGCAGGAACTTCCGTCGTAGTTGCTGAACTGGTTGAAGCACTGTCAGCCTCGTCGACAGAGTTCAGGTAAGGTTCCTCGGTAACGGGGTCGTTCAAAGGATTCTCGATCTCTCGAGGCTCCGCGGAGGTTGTCGTCGAGGCAGTCGTAGAAGAATACGGAGAAGTGGACGAGACTCGTTCCGTCTGCTTGGTGAGTTCCTCCACGTTGTTCCTCTTCCTCGTGTACCTAGTCCTGGCGTAAACGTCCCGATTCACCGCTGTCGGTTTCTTGAACACCCTTATGTTAGTGATTTTATCAGTCTCCTCTTCCTCCGTGACTGCGCTCCTGGATCTCGAGGGCGAGTTTCGTTTTGGATAGCCCTGGGTGATTCTGACGATAGGACTGTCGTCGAGCTCGTTCGTTTTAGAATGCTCGACGGTGGCTCTGGCGCTTGGGCGTCGGAATCTCCGTCTGGACGGCTCCGACGTGCTGTCCAAAGTGCTAGGAGCCTCCGTGGTTCTGGCTCGTGATCTGATCACCGAGTTGGCTGACTCTTCCGTTTTCGTTTTCACGGTAGATGGCGTGTACCTACTAGAGCCCCGTTGCCTCGATCTTCCAGGCGTACGTGTGGATCCCTCGGTGGCGTCGCGACGACTTTCGACTCGGTCGGCATCCTGTCGCGAAGTTAACCGACCCCGTCCTACCAAAATGGACGAGCGCGTTTGGTTTCGCGACGCTATACTCACCTTGGATCTCGTTTGATCGTTGGACGCTGGCAGCGGCGTGGTTACAGCGTCTGCTGGCCTGGTGCGTCGATTGAAGCCGAAAGGACGCGGTTGAGACACGGTCGCGGTGCTGATCCTCGTGCTGGGCGAAGATACCTTCGACAGGCTCGCTGGTGCAGTGGTCAGCAGGATTTCCGTCGCGGAATCGTCGACCAGTTTCACCGACTCAGTTGTCGAGCTTGCGTACGAGATCGGTTCTTCTTTGTCAAGATCGCGATCTATGTCGTTTATTGTCGTGGAAAGGATGATAGAAGAAGGAGTGGTCGTTGTTGACGTCGTCGACAGTATCGTTGTCACGACTGCTTCTGTCTTCTCCTCCGCTTTAAGCGTTTCGCTTGAAACAGATGTCTCTGTGATTGGTTCTTGGCTGGTGGAGATCACTTCTGAAACCACATCTGGAGACCTCGGGGTGGTGCTTCTGAATCTCTGGATGCTAATGTACCTACAGAACATTTTTTGCTCGTTGGTTAATTGATCAGGGAATAAGTTTTAGGACAGTGTTCCATGTTTAAGCATGTAAAGAGACCTAGATTTAGTTGTGGATGAGTTCTCATCGTTCAACGGCGGAACAGACTCCTGGTCCTTGGTGTCCTCTGAGGAGGTGCTCTTGGTATTCCTGAAATTCAGAAAATTACCTCGTGAAATTGATATTTTTCTTTAAACGTGACACTTATTTGCTACAATTGCTTGGATTACTTACTTTGATGATATACTAGGACGTCGAGAACGGACAGCTGTTACCTCTTCTTCTATGTCCTCGTCCTTCTCATCCACGTCGTTCTCGTATCTGAAAAATTCACAGTCACTCGTCAACTTTCATAAATCTATGACGCTTTGCTCTTCACTGTGTGTATGCATACGAAATGAAAATATATATGTGTAAGAGCGAGTGACAGTGAGGCGACATGGCAATAGCCTGGCGACGGCCAGAGCTGTTCAAGTGCCGTCATAAATTAGCGGGGTGTTTAGACTCCGGATAACTTGGCGAGGGTCGAAGCCGAATTTCGGCGGGACCCAACTATCTTTCGTCGGCCGTGACGTGAGTTTGACTAGACCCCGTAGAGCCGGCTACATTGGGGTCTTTCCCAAGAAAGAGTGGGGCATGTGTTTCTTACTTAAGAGCGGAAAATACCACGCCACGGGCAGAATAAAAAAAGCGATAGAAAACGACACCGCAAGTGAACGTCGCGAAGATTGGAAGAACGCGCAGTATAAAATTAGTAAAACTCTATTCTCTCGCATTCATAAATGTCTTACATATGTTTAACTAAAATTAGCAAAAACTTAGTTTTAAAAATTTTAATCACCTTGACTTCGCCGTAGTCGATGGTCGGCCACGTCTGATGTTAATGTAATTAGGAGTCGCTCTTTGCGTGGAGCTGGTTAGGAAGGGGTTTCTGATAGACTGTTCCTCAGAGGAAGCCACATCTGCAGTATCGTCGTCGAGGTCTTCTTCATCGTTGAGCTCCTCCTCTTCCACTGGTGGTTCATTCGTGGAGGATCTATTGAAAATGGAAGAATTTGTCAATTACCTTCTGCGTGGAACAAATTAGATAACGAATGAAGAGTCAAAAACTGATTCGTCGTACTTGGGCCTCTCGATGGTAACGTATTGATGCTTGTACGATCGCCTCAGTGTTTTCACTTCGGGAACCTCGTCCAGGCCTTCGAATTGCGTTCCACCTGGCCCGTTCGCGTAGCTCTTACTCCCTGATGTGCGTTGTCTGCTGGCACTTTTGCCAGCTTGACGACTGAGCACACGTTCGTACAGAGTGCGACTTATCGTGGCTGGAGTGGCAGGCTCGTTTTCCGAGTTAGTCTCATCGGGACTCTTGTTCTGAAGAAATAGTTGCTTCTCCAGTTCCTCTATACCACCTGTCAAACAATATAATTGGAAATATAAATACGTAGTATGGAAAGGAGGTTTGTATAACCGTTAAAGAGGTTTTACATACGTCTTAAAGTGTATTTAGTAATTTTTTTCAATTCATTTTACAGACATCATTGAGATACCAACTTTTCCCTATAATAAGTTTTCGCCTGAGTGTGCTATTGGTGGGAATTCTGAAGGTCGCAATTGTTATTCGAATGAAAATGTTATGTTGTTATGAAATTCTTTCTTTACATTGTTAATATGTTTTCTAAGAATATAAACTAAACTGCGACTAAAAAAAGTTGTGAATTGAATTTTTTAGGGGCGTTTAAAGAAAAACGTATCAATTTTTACTATTTTTTGTATAGCTTTTACAATATAAAACACATCCTAAACAATGAAATCATTCAAATTTGTAGTTCATAGTCAAGGCATTTAAATAAAGTAAGCATACGGAAGGTTTGAACAGGATTGGTCAATTAGTTTTTAAATTATCATTCCCACGGATTGAAAAAATATTGTTTAAAAGAAAAACGCGATAGCTCAAAGATTTTTGTGTGAAATGAATTGAAAAAATGACCGTATGTATATTCTCAAAGTTATAGAGACATTACATAAATTCTTCTTTGTAAAGTATCCCAAGAAATACTCAATATTTGGACTCCTAACATAGATTGAGGCTGAAAAAAGGCCTAACTTTCATCATTAATTCTGAGAGTATCGCGAAAGGAATAGAACTTCTTTTTACACATATTGTAGTATAAACAAAAATTGTTGTATTATAATTTTTGTTTATACTTCGATGTGTGTTAAATAAACCCTGTAAAAAGAAACCCTATTTTTTTTGCGATACTCTTAAAATTAATTATCAAAGTTAGGCCTTTTTTTCAGCCTCTAGAGTGGCGTTACCCCTTAAGATGTAGCATGAACTTCGCCATTTGGCTATCGTTTGGTGTACGTAATAGTGACCGTAAATATAAAAGAAACAGTATAATTACCTGCTTTCTTAATAAGCATTATTAGCTCCTTGATGACCTTGGGGTCTTCCTCCTCACCCTCACTGCCAATGACCTTCTCCAAGTCGTGTCTTTCAGATTTGGAAAGCGAAGATGGTGCCTCTGTCGTGGTGGTGGTTGTCGTGGTGGGCTTGTTTCTTGTAATCGTTTTGTACAGAAGTGGTTTCGAGGTGGTGGGTACTTTAACTTCTTCCTTCACTTCTTCTTCTTCCTCCTCCTCCTCGATTCCGTCGACGTCATCGTCATACTCCTCGTACTCCTCTTCGCTGTCTGGTTTCTCAGTGGTCGGTTTACGAGTGCTGCTGTAAAGGTAAGTTGTACGGCTTGTGGCAGCAACGATGGGAGCCCTCGTCGTCGACGCGGTTGACTGAGACGTCTTCGACTTGGGGCAGATCACGTTGCGTGGGTAATCGCAAGAATCAGCTGCCTTGTTGAACACCAGTCCTGCTCAAACGTATTATCAAACAAATGTTAGATATAATTTTAATATATTTTAATATATTTAATTTTAATTTATATTTTAATATATATATATATAGAATATGTTTACGTGAAACAATAATTCTCCGG